GAGAGAGAGAGAGAGAGAGAGAGAGAGAGAGAGAGAGAGAGAGAGAGAGAGAGAGAGAGAGAGAGAGAGACCGGCAAACAAACAAACAAAATGAAGTTGTGCTCTTTGTGGATCCTATCCGCAACTGTTGTTTCATTGAGTATTCTTAGAATGTGCTCATGAACTGACCATACATCTTCACACAATACTGTAGTGCAGCTGCAGAAGAAACCATCATTGGCGGCCATGGAGGACGAGGGAGAGGGAAGCAAGAGCTCGAGTCGATCGTGGGGGCCGAACACAAACAGGGTGACGAGTCTGACGATATACCAAACTGAAACCGTTTTCCTCTTCCTTTTCTTCCCCCTGAAATATTTTGCGTTGTCATTTATCCACATTGTCATTTGAACTTGAACACAACTTGACCAAGGGAGGGGAAAAACCGAGGTCCTCGCATCCTTGGCCCCTTTTTTTTTGCCCCCTTTTTAAACTTGAAAAAGGGGGTGAGAAAGAAACCTGGAAGTCTGTATCTGGCATTCTTGTGGATGTGCTGAGAGTCCTGAGTGTGCTTCAACTTTTTTCCTTTTGTATTTCTGAATCCAAGTCCTGCCATTAACCCCCAAGCCCCTGAGGTGATTTTGGCCCCCTTAACCTGCAGTTCACCCCGTAGTGTAAGTGGAGAAGGATTATGATTCCTAATGGATATACCAAGAGATGGTTAAGGGAAGGCCCAAAGCTCAGGTTTTTTTCGCTGCATCGCCACAACCAATGCCGTCAAAAAATTCGCGAACAAACAATTCAGGCTCATCATACAAACATAAAAAAAAAAAAATCAAACAGGCAAAAAAAAGTCAAAAACAAATAAATGAATTATAAATCAGAAGCACACTATTTAAAAATAAATCATCACTCTTAAGCCTTCAACCCTATTTCTTACTCCCAACTTCCCAAGCCCTAAGCTGGATTGAAATTTGAAAGTGAGAGGTCTAACAGACTCTAACCCTGTCTTAAGTCCTAAGCTTGAAACAGCTATTCCCTTAGTCTGAGCTATTTACCCTAAACCCTTATTCCCCAACCCCCCATCCTCTAAAGATCTTAAAGGCACTAAGCCCTAATTTCAGAATCTCAATCTTCAACCCTAGACCCTAAGCCCTTTGTTTAGAATCCAATCCCTAAACCCTTTGTTTAGAATCCAATCCCTAAACCCTAAGCCCTAAACCATAACTCCCTGAACCTGGAACCCCGAATCCTGAACCCATAACCATAAATCCTAAACCCTGGACACTGAACCCCAAGCCCCACACCTAAACCCTAAACATAAAGGCCTAAACGCTACCCTGAAATCCTAAGCCCTGTATTTAATATCCACATCCACATCCTTCAACCCTTGCCTTGGTTCTGAGAGTTTCGAGTCCGAACTCTTATGTTTCAAAGTCTAACCTCTGAAGCCTAAAGCCCTATACGGCCCTAACCATGTCTTATTACTAAGCCCTTAAGAATAGCCTTAAGCCCTAATTAGTATGTGACCTCTAGCCAAGCCCTAAACCCTAAGCCCTAAACCCTAAGCCCTAAACCCTAAGCCCTAAACCCTAGACCCTAGACCATGAACCCTAAAGCTTAACCCTAACCCCAAAACAATGACCTTAAAGCCTAAAGCCTGTTTTTAGTATCCACAACCTAAACCTTAAACCCTTTGCGTTGGTTCCGAAAGTCGGGACTCGGGAGTCCTAAGTTTTATGTTTCAAGTTCCCAGTCCCAAGCCCCTGAGCCCTAAGCCATGTATCTGCCACCATGTGCAGAAGTCCCAAGTCCTAAGCCCCTGACCATGTCTTAGGACTTGGGACTTCTGCCACCATGTCTAGAAGTCCCAAGTCTTAAGTCCTTTTCTTTAGAAAAGAGAGTGCGCACTTGAACGGGTCCTGGCTCCATACCCATTCTGGAGAGCGCCAATCCAGTTTTTTTTTTTTTTTTTTTTTTTAGTAGAAATAGCAAGATTTCATGATATATGAGAAAAAGGAGGCCGGGAATCCCTCCACACCTCAACCCGGGATACTGGGGCCATTACCCCGCTTAGGTGCATACTAGAAAATGGGTCTAGTGTCCAGATCAAAATCTAGAAACTGGAGTAACAAAACTACAAACAGCGAAAGGAGGAGAAGGACAACTTCAAGAAAAGCAGACTAAATGCTAACCACTCATAAACTGCCTCACTTTCTTTTTTCCAGTTTTTATTCCCCGCTCAGCAAGTCGTAAAATTTACATCATCTACACACTCATGCATCCTTCCGTTTGGCCGATAAGATCCCTGCAATCATAAGTTTTCATAAATGCATGTATAACATAGACCACAGGTTCCTCTCCGAGCTTTGGTATGGCAAGTTGATGACCCATTCTGAGACTGGGAGGATGTCCCAAAAGTCCCAGAAGTCCCAAAAGTCCCCAAAATAAAAAGCAGTAAACCTAACCCTTTCAGTATGTGTCCTAAGCTCTACACTTTGAGTCCCAAAAGGGGGGACTGGGCGGAAGTCCCAGAAGTTTCAAAAAGTACAGTTCCAAAAGCCTAAACGCTTAAACCACCGGTACTATTTAGCCTCGTCTCCTGAACCGACCCTTGCGGTCACACTAAGAAACCAGGACCTCTTAGAGAAAATGTTTGCGCATCGATATAATCCAGATTCTTATACCCATCCATTGTCAAAGAGAAGCTCTATGGCCCTCTGCTGAGACCTGATCGCGGACTACCTGGTAATGGGGTAGAAAAAAAAGTGTCCCTCCAGAGGATTGGGAGTCTTCACCTCTCCAGTGCAGCTCTCAAAATAGATAAGCTGCTACTATTATGGCATAATGGCAGCAATAATAACTGTACGTATATAACATGGACCACATGTTCCTCTGATCTTTGGCTGGCACGTTCATGACCATTGTGAGATTGGGAGGAAGTCTCAAAAGTCCCAAGAGTCCCAAAAGTCCCAAAAGTCCCAAGAGTCCCCAAAGTTCCCAAAGTCCCAAAAGTCCCAAAAATCCCAAAAGTCCCAAAAGTGCCAAAAGTCCCAAAGTCCAAAAAGTCCCAAAGGTTCCAAAATGAGGGATTGGAAGCAAAACGCAAAACTCGAGTGCACCTGCTGACGTGAGGTGTTCAGAAGGGAAAAGAAATTGTGGGTCGTGATGGAAGAAAAGGAATGCAAAAACAAAAAGAAAAGAAAAAGCACAAGGGAAAGATAAGAATTCAAACACACTACACTTCTGTAGAAGCAATAGCAAAATTCGCTGCTTCATAGCTATTTTTTTTGGCCGGAGGTCGTAGCATAGCTATCGCATCGGAATCGTCAGAATGTCAATAACAAAGCGCCTAGCAATAACTATGCTATTGCAATACCACAGCTATTGCATCGGAAACGTTGAAAAGTGAAGAGCAAAGGAATGCCAATAGCAATAGCCATAGCAATAGCCATAGCAATAGCCATAGCAATAGCCATAGCAATAGCCATAGCCATAGCCATAACATAGCAATAGCATGCAATAGCATAGCTAATAGCCATTGCTTTGGAATTGTCACGAACTTGCTGCACCACAGATGGGCATGCCTCTGATTCCCAGTGGGAATCCCACCACCATATTTCCTTGTTAGATTTGGACTTTCCTGAATACATTCTGTTCGAATGCGAGCGAAATAGTGTGGTGTGTGTGAATCAGTGCAAATCCTACTGTGGAGATAAGCCCCTCACACACCATGGGACATTCGGAATGCATTGAGGATGACCCCAATGTATTGCTCTAGCAGCCCCACCGGGCCACCCCTAAGTTACACAGTAGTTTTCAGGGTTCAAGCACCAGTCTTTGCAAGATAATGAGAGAGAGAGAGAGAGAGAGAGAGAGAGAGAGAGAGAGAGAGAGAGAGAGAGAGAGAGAGAGAGAGAGAGCAATGGCCTCCATAAAATTGCCACTAATACCATGTGCAATTTATGGGAGTGCCATCTGTCACGACAATCTGATGTTATCACCTATACATCAGGCAGCATACACAGCCTGCAACCTCTTGTGTGCTGCAACCTCTTCATCAGACTGCTTGTGATCGACTGATCACCTTTTTTTTTTACCCTTTCATGAAAGCAGGTCAAAAAAAGAAGAAGAAGAAGAAGAAGAAGATGAAGAAGAAGAAGAAGAAGAAGAAGAAGAAGAAGAAGAAGAAGAAGAAGAAGAAGAGAGCAGGTCCTTATGCGCCAGGTTCCATATCCATTCTAAGGAGCATGATTCCATTTTATTTTTTTTTTATTTTTTTTTTCATCTTCATCATGTCACCAGCAAGCAGCAAGTCAGAAAAGTACACTCACTGTCAATGCTTGCTCACACTAAGGCCCGGGGACCCCTTACGGCATTGCTTGCGTACTTCCAAAGGATTGACTGTCAGTCAATTCCATGCCTGTGTCATACTGAGCACTACACGGGCCCCCACAGGGCCCGACCCGGCAGGACAGGGGTTACGTAGGGGCCCTTCAGGCCCTGTGTCGGTTCAGCTTAGGTAGAGGCCCGTCAGGCCTGTGTAGTTTCAGCCTACGTAGGCCCCGTAGGTCAGTAGGCCGTAGGTAGGCCCTGACGCCCGTTTTGGCGCCAGACCCGGTATAGGCCCAGTAGGTGCCAGGCCATTTCAGGCCCTTTTTCAAATTCAGCCTTTTCGAATTTAGGCGCCAGACCGTTTTGGGTGCCAGGCCCTGGCGCCGTTCGGCATTGGTGAAGGCAGCCTCCCAGCCGGACCAGCACTATATATAGCTGGTCCGCCTAGGAGGCTGGGATTCAGTCTTCAGGCATTCAGCAGCGGCACTCTCCGGAGATGCTGCCGCGGTAGTAGGTGACGATAGGAGTAGTCTTCCAGTGCTGGGCGCTGCTAGGATTGTACGATAGCGCTAAGAGGGAGGAGAGTGGCGGAGGCCACGGGACTTACCTGGGAGCTTACCTGTGACGCCATGGCTCCAGCTTCCTACCTGCAGCAAGGTGCCACCTTTCACAGGTTAGTACCTGGCACAGAGAGAAAGAGAGAGAGAGCTCTAAGAGAGAGAGCTCTCCTTCTTCTTCTTCTTCCTCCAGTCCACCATCTCTCCATCACCCTCTAGCTACGTGACTTCTCAGTATCGGCAGACTACGAGAGAGAGAGAGAGAGAGAGAGAGAGAGAGAGAGAGAGAGAGAGAGAGAGAGAGAGAGAGAGAGAGAGA